AGGAATATTGAGTATACAGGAATTTACTATCTGATAGGAACGTCACATTAGATGGGTTTCAGTTAATAAGAAACTAATAATACTATACCCATTATAGTTTGTTATAGAACCAAGTCCATTGATACATCTTCACTGGCTGCTATGTCTATATGTTTTCCATCTTCTCTTTGAGGCAGAGTCTTCTGGGCTTGTCTACCTATGGAGCTTTTCCTTTCTACAACCTTTTATTCGGTTGCACGTTTTGTGTTCTCCTATGCAGGTAGTCTATGATGAAGGGGGATAACGACCCACTATAGTAATTGTTGAGTTGTAAGGAGAAAATGCCAATTGTTGAATTTGCATATTTAAAAAAATAAAAAAAATGTGATAAACAATTTATTTTTAATTTATTCTTTGTCCAAAAAATTGTAACCAAAAAAATTACAACTTCAACTCTTACTATATACTGTCTACTTTCCAAAAAAAGGGTAATATAGGGGATATTTGTTGAATTTCAAATATGTACTGTATACTGTAGTTTGTTGACACTATACCATTCATAAAAAAACAATTAATATACACTTGTTGGGGTTATTTCTACCAAGGAAACATAGCAGAATACATTTTGGCCTACATTTTTAAAGAAAGATTATTTATTGAAACATTTTCTAACAGAAATGAAGAACATTTTTTTTTTCAAAATGTTCAGTCTTTTTTCGTTTATTTTGCAAAAAAAAACAGTGGTGATTAAAGATAACAAAATTAAATCTATATTTGTATGAACAAAATGATAAAAATTTAATATGGCTACAGTGTTGCATGACCGCACAATTGTCATTCATAAAGTGACAGCGTTGAAAGCTAAAAATTACCCTGGGCAGGAAGGGGGTGAAAAAAATAATTAAATAGAAAACCTCAATAGATACATTATATACCCACAGTTGAAAAAAAAACGTATGAAGAATCGTGCATGGGGCAAAAAAATGATTTCCTGATCCCCCCAGAGTAAATAATACTGTATCAATGATCTCTGGTGTTATTATTACCTATAAATGCTACTATCCACTTACATTATATGCGTTTAGGAAATAATCCATCTTTAAAAAAAAAAAAATCTACTGAGCTGGCCAGAGCTAGTTCTTGAGAAAGTCTATTTCACATTTACATAGCTCTTACTGTGGAGAAGCCTTTCCATATATGGAGTTTGTAATCTTTTTTTCCTCCACACATAGAGTGCCCTTTTGTCCTCTATAATGACCTGGAAGTGAATAACTCTACACCAAGTTCACTGTATGGACCACTGATATATTTATACATGTTGATCATATCCCCCTTATGTATTATACATGGTGATCATATCCCCCCTTATGTATTATACATGGAGATCATATCCCCCCTTATGTATTATACATGGAGATCATATCCCCCTTATGTATTATACATGGAGATCATATCCCCCCTTATGTATTATACATGGAGATCATATCCCCCCCTTATGTATTATACATGGTGATCATATCCCCCCTTATGTATTATACATGGAGATCATATCCCCCCTTATGTATTATACATGGAGATCATATCCCCCCTTATGTATTATACATGGAGATCATATCCCCCCCTTTATGTATTATACATGGAGATCATATCCCCCCCTTATGTATTATACATGGAGATCATATCCCCCTTATGTATTATACATGGTGATCATATCCCCCTTATGTATTATACATGGAGATCATATCCCCCTTATGTATTATACACGGAGATCATATCCCCCCTTATGTATTATACATGGAGATCATATCCCCCCTTATGTATTATACATGGAGATCATATCTCCCCTTATGTATTATACATGGTGATCATATCCCCTTATGTATTATACATGGAGATCATATCCCCCTTATGTATTATACATGGAGATCATATCCCCCCTTATGTATTATACATGGTGATCAATATCCCCCCTTATGTATTATACATGGAGATCATATCCCCCCTTATGTATTATACATGGAGATCATATCCCCCCTTATGTATTATAAATGGAGATCATATCCCCCCTTATGTATTATACATGGTGATCATATCCTCCCTTATGTATTATACATGGAGATCAGATCCCCCCTTATGTATTATACATGGAGATCATATCCCCCCTTATGTATTATACATGGAGATCATATCCCCCCTTATGTATTATACATGGAGATCATATCCCCCCTTATGTATTATACATGGAGATCATATCCCCCCCTTATGTATTATACATGGTGATCATATCCCCCTTATGTATTATACATGGAGATCATATCCCCCCCTTATGTATTATACATGGTGATCATATCCCCCCTTATGTATTATACATGGAGATCATATCCCCCCTTATGTATTATACATGGAGATCATATCCCCCTTATGTATTATACATGGTGATCATATCCCCCTTATGTATTATACATGGAGATCATATCCCCCTTATGTATTATACATGGAGATCATATCCCCCTTATGTATTATACATGGTGATCATATCCCCCTTATGTATTATACATGGAGATCATATCCCCCCTTATAAATTATACATGGAGATCATATCCCCCCCTTATGTATTATACATGGAGATCATATCCCCCCTTATGTATTATACATGGAGATCATATCCCCCTTATGTATTTATACACGGAGATCATATCCCCCCTTATGTATTATACACGGAGATCATATCCCCCCTTATGTATTATACATGGAGATCATATCTCCCCCTTATGTATTATACATGGTGATCATATCCCCTTATGTATTATACATGGAGATCATATCCCCCTTATGTATTATACATGGAGATCATATCCCCCCTTATGTATTATACATGGTGATCATATCCCCCCTTACGTATTATAAATGGAGATCATATCCCCCCCTTATGTATTATACATGGAGATCATATCCCCCCTTATGTATTATACATGGTGATCATATCCTCCCTTATGTATTATACATGGAGATCATATCCCCCCTTATGTATTATACATGGAGATCATATCCCCCCTTATGTATTATACATGGAGATCATATCCCCCCTTATGTATTATACATGGAGATCATATCCCCCCTTATGTATTATACATGGAGATCATATCCCCCCTTATGTATTATACATGGTGATCATATCCCCCCTTATGTATTATACATGGAGATCATATCCCCCCTTATGTATTATACATGGTGATCATATCCCCCCTTATGTATTATACATGGAGATCATATCCCCCCTTATGTATTATACATGGAGATCATATCCCCCCTTATGTATTATACATGGTGATCATATCCCCCTTATGTATTATACATGGAGATCATATCCCCCTTATGTATTATACATGGAGATCATATCCCCCTTATGTATTATACATGGTGATCATATCCCCCTTATGTATTATACATGGAGATCATATCCCCCCTTATAAATTATACATGGAGATCATATCCCCCCCTTATGTATTATACATGGAGATCATATCCCCCCTTATGTATTATACATGGAGATCATATCCCCCCTTATGTATTATACATGGAGATCATACCCCCCCTTATGTATTATACATGGAGATCATATCCCCCCTTATGTATTATACATGGAGATCATATCCCCCCTTATGTATTATACATGGAGATCATATCCCCCCTTATGTATTATACATGGAGATCATATCCCCCCTTATGTATTTTATATGGAGATCATATCCCCCCTTATGTATTATACATGGAGATCATATCCCCCCCTTATGTATTATACATGGAGATCATATCCCCCCCTTATGTATTATACATGGAGATCATATCCCCCCTTATGTATTTTATATGGAGATCATATCCCCCTTATGTATTATACATGGTGATCATATCCCCCCCTTATGTATTATACATGGAGATCATATCCCCCCTTAATCTCCTCTTCTCAAGAGAGAATACATTCAGTTCCTCTAATCTTTCCTCATAGCTGATCTCCTCCATGCCTCTTATTAGTTTGGTTGCCCTTCTCTGTACTTTCTCCAGTTCCCCAATGTTGTTTTTGTGAATTGGTGCTTAAATTTGAACTGCATATTCCAGATGAGGTGTTACTAATGATTTGTACCGGGGTAATATGATATCTCTCTCTCTGGAGTCTATACCTCTTTTAATACAAGAGAGATAATTTTGCTTTAGAAACTGCAGCTTGGCATTGCATGCTATTTTTAAGTCAACGATCTACTAGAGCACCCAGATCCTTCCCCACCATTGACTCCCCCCACTGTTCTCCTCCTAATTTATATGATGCATGCATATTCTTACTCCTCATGTGCCATAAATGTATCAATTTTAAACCTCATTTGCCACATAGCTGCCCAATTTAATAGTGCTGTAGCACCCCCCTAGATAAGTGCTAGGATTTGTAAAGCTAGAATAGTATAGCTGTGTTTTTTCTCTGCTTAACAGAGTGCTGTGATGGATTAGTAAGGTCTGCTCATGATGCTCTGGTGCTAACTGAGTTTTCTGAGTTCCATCTACTTTTTGAAAGCTATGAAAGCCTTCCAGAACATAGGTAGGGGCTAGGCAAATGAACAGCATGGATATGGCTACAGCCCTAGCCAATTGCTGGTCAAGGTGGCCCCATTGCATGCTGGGAGTGGTATTTATGTTCTGTGAGCATATGGGTTCAGCGTCTTTCCCTGGAGAGGATTGCACCAAGCAAGGCTGGAGGCAGGCTTACCTCACCTGGCACTGGCTGCCATGAAGGCCTTAGGTGGGTCGACTTGAGGGCCTGGAGCTAGAGAGAGTGACCCTGGTTCTACAGTATGCTGACTGAGAGGAGCCGTCTGCCAAAGATCTGTCTGGTATCACTGGAAGGTTTTGCTTGGAAGATTGGAAGCAGGCTGCCATTCTGTCCTTGAACCTTGTGAGTACAGACTACATAGTACTACCCCTCTGCTGCTTGATAGTCAGCATGGGTCTGAGAAAAGAGAACACTGGCTAGTGTTCTGAAGAGCTTGTCCAACTGTTACTACTGAAAAAGGGATTTTTCTCACTCCTAAACTACTTTTTGCTACAGTTCTAAGAAATGTCTGATATCTGCTTTCAGCCAGGACCAGGGGCGGACTGACCATTTGGAAATTCGGGCACTGCCCGAGGGCCTGGGGTCAGTAGGGGCCCCATGAGATGCCCCTGGTACCTTTTTCATAGGCTTTTTTGAGTTTGGGCAAGGACACAGGGGCCCCATGATCTCCTATTGCCTGGGGGCCCCATGAGTTGTCAGTCCGCCCCTGGCCAGACTTCTGTTGTGCTTAACTAATATATCAGTTAGATGTCCTCAGTGTGAATAGTTCTAATTTTGGAGTATGTTACTAAATCCCTTATCCCTATCCCCAGTTCTACAATAAAAACTCCAAAAACAAACATCCCCTAGCTGATCATTGAAGACAACGAGCAAGTGTATGTTGTAAATGGCTGTGGAAAATACTTTGTGCCTGGCTGAGGGATAAAGAAAGGGGGAAACCTGGGCAGCAATACAAGTGCCTCCTCCGGGGGTAGCGCTACAGTGCATTGAGGTCGGTTTGTAAATTGAAAACATTGTGAAAGGTCATAATTCCACTGCATAGCTTGGTGTCATCTGCAAAGACTAAAATTGTATTTTTAATCCCGGACCCTATATTGTTTATAAATATATTAAAAATCAGTGGTCCCAACACACTGAACCTTGGGGTACACCACTGACAACCATTCAGAGTATGAATCATTAACCACTACTCTCTGAATAAGGTCTTTTAGCCAGTTTTCTATCCATTTACAAACATTTTCTACGCCTGTAGAGTTTACCTTAGACATTAGTCAAGTGTAGGGAACTGTGAAATGCATTTGTAAAATCCAAGTGTAGTACTGTATATCCAGAGCCTCTCCTTTGTCTAAGTTTTGCTTACTTCCTCATAACTACTACTTCAGCCTTTTTTGAATCCATACTGACTTATTACCTAAAATATTGTTTTCTAGCAAAAACCCATCTATGTGGTCTTTTATTAAACTCTCCAGTACCTTCCAGAGTAATTCTATAGATACGTTTTAAAGACTTTGATCCGTTTTTAAATGTAGGCAACATATTGGCCTATGCTAGCCCAGTGGTACCACTCCAGTCATCAAAGAGTTATGAAAAATGTAAAATTGGAAATAATGGCTTTGAAAAAAAGAGCTCAATTTCTTGAGGACATGTGGATTTTAGCCATCTGGTCAAGGTGCTTTATTCAACTTTATTTTGTCTAAATGTTTCTGGACCATATCAATTTTGAACCTATGGGGTTGATTTACTAAAACTGGAGAGTGCAAAATCTGGTGCAGCTGTGCAAAGAAACCAATTTCAGGTTTTATTGTCAAATCTTACACCAAAGAGCTATTCTTCTTAAAGGAACTTTTGTGCAGTAAGATGTCCACAAAAAAGTTAGTTCCAAATATATTATTAAATATGTATATTTATTAGGGTAATATAAAAATGTATGTTAAAAATGAAGACCCAAACAAACATATAAAGGCGATCATACAATAGAAAACAATGTCCAGTATTTGTATATCTCAGAAGAACCCATAAAGTAGAGCGCTGTAAGCAGCACTTGACGCATTTCAAGAGAATATCTCTTCTTAAGTGGTATGCTTTTTAAGGTTCACAGTTCTCTTCTACAGATGTGAAAAAGAATGTACATACATCAGATATTTATAATGTTACATACATGATCACAAAATAAAGCAAAATACATTTCATTAATAATGACACCTACTAACCTAACTTAGGCTGTTCTCTAATACACACTGTTCAAAAATATTAAAGGAACACTTGGAAAACACATCAGATCTCAATGGGAGAAAAATGTCATGCTGAATCTCTATAATGATATGGAGGGGGGGTAATGTGTTAGGAAAGTAAGGATGCCCCATCGTTTGATGGAAATGAAAATTATCAACCTACAGAGGACCGAATTAAAGTGAAAAAATGATGTCATTTGTATGGCAGCAGGCTAGTCCATTTTGCTGAAAAATTGGCTCAGTAGTTTGTATGGCCCCCACGTGCTTGTATGCATGCCGGACAACATTGGGGTATGCTCCAATTGAGACAACGGATGGTGTCCTGGGGGATTTCCTCCCAGATCTGAACCTGGTCATCACTGAGCTCCTGGACAGTCTGACGTGCAATGTGGCGGTGCTGGATGAACTGAAACATGATATCCCAGAGGGGTTGTATTGGATTTAGGTCAAGCAAGTGTGGGGGCCATTCAATGGTATCAATTCCTTCATCCTCCTGGAGCTGCCTGCATACTCTCCTCACATGAGGCCGGGCATTGTCGTGCCCCAGGAGGAACCCAGGACCCACTTCACCAGCATAGGGTCTGACAATGGGTCCAAGAATTTCAGCCCGATACCTAATGGCAGTCAGGGTGCCATTGTCTAGCCTGTAGAGATCTGTGCGTCTCTCCATGGATATGCCTCCCCAGATCATCACTGACCCACCACCAAAACAGTCATGCTGAACGATGTTACAGGCACCATGACGTTCTCCATGGCTTCTCCAGACCCTTTCATGTCTGTCACATGTGCTCAGGGGGAACCTGCTCTTATCTGTGAAAAGCACAGGGTGCCAGTGGCAGCCCTGCCAATTCTGGTGTTCAATGGCAAATGCCAATCGAGCTCTATGGTGCCAGGCAGTGAGCACAGGGCCCATTAGAGGACGTTGGGCTCTCAGGTCACCCTCATGAAGTCTGTTTCTGAAGGTTTGGTCAGAGACATTCACACCAGTGGCCTGCTGGAGGTCATTTTGTAGGGCTCTGCAAGTGCTCATCCTATTCCTCCTGGCACAAAGGAGTGGATACAATTTATTTTTTCCTCCTTGCTGCTTTGCTAGAGTAATAGTCTGTTGTTTCTCCTCTTCAAGGAGGAGGAACAACTTTAGGGCTAGCTACAACATGAATGATCACTATGATAGCCAAACACAAGCTAGGACAACAATCGTGATCAAGATCCGGTTCCTCCAGGTCTTGATCATTAGTATGAGACCCAGAGCTTTCACCAACAGCTGGATTTCTGTGCTGGGAGCATGCAAGTGCACAGACATTGGAACGTATACATGCAGCTCCCATGATTAAAGCTGGACACCATATGTTTGTGTGCAGTCGTAAAGGGTTAACTTTGGCCTTGAGCCACATCAGTTTTATTTTTAGCCTGTTATGCTTCTTGCCCATGGGAATATACAGCGTATTGCAGTGTGTTTACCTATAGTCAATTTGAAGCATTCACATTTCTGCTCTGTGTTCTTTAACCTCCCTGACGGTATTCCCGAGTGTAGCTCGGGGTAACATTTCAGTACCAAAAGCGGTAACCCCGAGCTACACTCGGGCTTACCCTGCGGCACTGCTCCGGCAAGTGTTCTTCACTTACCTTACCCTGCGCTCCCGCGATGTGTCCCCTGCAGCGTCCCCGGCCATCTCCTCCGGCCGATGCCGGCATCCAGCTTCTGTGTCCTGTCCCTGTGTGACGTCGGGACGTACGGGCGCCGCCGCCGCCGCCGGCGGGAAATTTAAAAATTTTAAAAAATGTAATTTTTTTTTTTTTACATTTTACACAGTAAAACATTGCTGTTTCAACCTATTTCACATACATTTTGTCCCGAGTGCTTTGTCCTGCGCCCTGCCTGCATTTTGTCTATTCTTTCTGCCTGGAAACTGAGAAATGTCCATGGCGTCCAAAAAGTGTCCCTTTAGGTCAAAAGCGGTTTAGATCAGCTAGAGAACAGCGATAGTAAATCAGAACCACTTTCAGAATTGAGTGATAATGATTCGTGGGGGAAATTCGTCATCAGAAACTGAAAACGATTTTGCGACTGAGCTCAGCAATGTGCGAACTTGGCGCTCTATTTCACATTTCAGTGTTTTTGGTTTGATTATATTATTGAATTTAATTTTTTATTATTTTTATATTATTTTTATGATTATTTATTAAATTATAATTTATGATTTTGTGTTTCAAATTTTATCATACCCGGGATGTTTACTAGACTCTTGTTCGGACAGATTTCAGTGAGTTTTTCCTAAAAATTACAGCCTACAAATAAAAAAAATACATATTTCCATGCAAAAAAATGGTACCGCTTTCAGCACCAAAAATCTGAAATAATCATACCGCCAGGGAGGTTAATGACAGTCTAAATCTCGGAAAAACAACCCTCAGCCTTGGAAAATTTGCTCTCTTAAAGTCAAGTGTTTTTATCTTTCCAGTATGTGTTTGTTGTGTACAGCTAACATTAAATTAAATCATGTTATTGTCACTGCTACCCCAATGATATTTTGTATGAACATTAACAATAAGTCCTGCAATGTTTAAGATTACCAGGTTCAGCAATGCGTCATTTCTAGATGAGGTTTCTATAAACTGTACCAAAATATTGTCTAATAATAAATTAAAAATCCTCCCCCCTTCCATTTAGATGCAAACTGTCTTTAGCATATAGGTTGTAACCCAATGAAAAGTTAATCCAGTCTATAAACACCAAATCCTTCCCTTTTGCACCAGCTCTTTAGCAGTGCATTCAGTTCTCCAAGCCACCAATACCTTTCCTGACTTTCACATGGCCTTTTCAATATTTCATAGAACATATCCTTGAAGATCTTTCCCTCAAACTTGCATCCTTGTTCCTTAAATTGATTATTAAGGATCCTCTATCTTCCATGTATTCTGTCATTGGTTCCAACATGGACCAGGACAGCTGGATCATACTTTAGCCCTCAGAGTAATTTGTCAAACCGGTCCACCACATGCTGAACCCTGGCACCATCGATACAGCAAACTATTTGGTTAAGGCAATCCTGGTCACAAATGTTTCTATCAGTCCTTCTGATTATAGAACCACCACTTACCACCAACTGTCTGGGCCTTCCTGCATTACCCTTACCATCCCTACTAGATGGACTGCTCTCCTGGCTGTTAGGGATAGCAGTGACATCGAGGGCTGCAACATCTGAATTTGCCACCTTCACATCTTCACCCCACTTGGGAAATTTGTTTGGTGCTCAGACACAAGACCGGCCTTCATTTTCAGCCCTCGGTATTTTGTTTAAGGACAATGTGAAGCATTTAAAGTAGTTCTAAAGGCTGAAGTTTTTCTACCTTCATGCATTCTATGAATGAAAGTAAAAAACCTTCTGTGCGCAGCTCTCCCCAACTCCCCCTAATACTTACTTGAGCCGAATCTCGATCCAGCGATGTGCACTAGAGCAGATGCTCTCCTGGGTCTCTCCCTCCTCATTGGCTCAGAGACAGCAGCAGAAGCCATTATATCTCTGCTGCTGCCAATCACAGCCTGTGAAGAGGGAGCCAGAGGCAGGTATGAGCCAATGGACACTCAGAGCAGGGCTCAGGAGTGAGCATGCATGAGTTCCCCCCCATAACAAGTGGCTTACTATTGGGGCACTCAGTAGAGGGGAAGAACCAAGAGTGCTGTCAGGGGATCTGAGAAGAGGGGGATCAGGGCTGAGGAGGAGGAACACAGAGCAGGTATGATGTTTGTTATTTTTTTTTAAATTACCTTTAGTATCATGTAAAGAGGAAAGTGTTGCCGCTACTCCCGAACCAGCTCAGGTGAACAGGTGAATAGATGGTAAGCAGCAGCCTCAGCCTACATGTCTCCACCAAACCACAAACCTCACCCACCAGGGCTTAGTGATAGTGTCACTTTGACCCTGAAGACTAAGTGCATCTAGTGGTGGAATGCATGTACTGCAGGGGACATCACCAAAGAGGAAGTGAGCATTGCAGCCAGAGCTGTTTTTTTTCATTTTAAGCCTCTGCTAGGAGAATATTTAAAAAAAAAAAACCTGGAGTCAGGGCTTTTTAAAATGCTTAAGGATCTTCCAAAGGTTGGTGTTTTGTGTTTCTACACTCAGGATATATTTTATTACAGGAACTTATATATATAGCACCACCAATTTATGCAGTGCTTTACTATATATATTGTACATTCGTATCAGTCCCTAACCCTCAAGGGATGTACAATCTAAGGTCCCTAACTCACATTTATACATACACATATGTACTTGGGCCAATTTAGACAGGATCCAATTAACCTTCCATGTGTCTTTGGAGTGTGGGAGGAAACCCACGCAAGCACAGGAAGAACATGCAAAAACCAGGCAGGTGGTGCCATGGCTGGCATTCGAATTAATGACCCTAGTGCTGCCAGGGGGAAGTGCTAACCACTTAGCCACTGTGTTGCCCTTGGTACAGCTATCACAACTGGCATCTGTATGTGTGGAAACTCCCTCTACTGCCCATGCATGGGTATTGTGTCTAAAATGGCAAACCCAGTTACTCCTGCTCAGGGATGGACTCTGTATGGATAGGACCACATCACGAATTTTCTTGGGAAATGCACGCCTTGCTGCCTGCAAAAGACCGGAGAAGTCCACATATACTGAGTAGAGATAAAAACAAACAGAGGGCACACCAGCCTAGTGCATTGCCTTTAAAAAATGTATTTATTAATGATAAAGTAGGTATTGTACTCACAAAATGACAATAGAGTCAAAGGAACATCGTGAAAGAAACGCTTTGTCCAATCCGCACTACGTGTCTGTCCGTAATGGGAACTCAGAACCTCCAACAGGCTGGCGCATTTCGAGGACTTGCCTCTTCCTCAGAGCCAACTCAATATGGGTATTGTGTCTGGCTGTTCCCTCAAGTGCCCCTGTGTAGTTTTATGTCCAGCATCTGCAACCTGTTTGCAGGCTCTCTCCACTACATATGTTTTTTTTTCTGCCTGCAGTTCCCTCTAGTGCACATGCATGTTCTTGACATCAGTCCACTTTCAAAACTCCACCCACTGTTGACAAAATAAAGGATACATTACAGAGGACTAATGACCATAGAGAAAAAAGTTAAAAAGGTATATTTTTGGCAATTATTATTTATTAAACAGCAAAGAGTCAACAAGCCACAATATAGGAACCATTTGGGCTGTTGCATATTTCCTAAATTTCTACTTTAATTTTGTAAAGACATGCACACTCTATATTTTTAACATAAATAAATGCTCTAGAAATCGAAATCCTTCCCTCTTACATCAAGTCTTTAGCCATGCATTCAGTCCTCTAAGCTCCATTCTGCCTTTCTAGATTTACTACAAGCAAAATTCCAGAAAATATCACCTTGGGAGTCTTTCCCTCAAACTTGCAACCTCGTTCTTTAAAATGATTATTAGGGATCCTCCATCTTCCATGTATTCTGTAATTGAGCCCAACAAGAACCAGGAAAGCTGATTCATGCCTTGCCCATTCCAGGATATTGTCAACCCAGCCCACTATATGCTAAGATAGCAAACCATTTGGTAAAGGAGATCCTGGCAACAAATTATTCAGACCTTCTGATTATAGAATCCCCAATTACCACCCACTGTCTAGGCCTCCCTGCATTACCCTCATTACCCCTACTAGGTGGGCTGCTCTCCCAGATCTAGTGATATCTAGGACTGCCACCTCTGAGTCTGCCACTCCCACATCTTCATCCCAACTTGCCAGATTTGTTTGGGTGCTCAGATATGGGACTGGCCATCATTTTCAGTCTTCAGTCTTTCAATTTAAAGACAATAGGCAGCATTTAACCCGGAAGACTAAGGCCATCCAGTAGTGGAATTCATATACTGTGGGGGACATCACCGAAGAGAAAGCGAGTATTGCAGCCATAGATGCTTTTTAATTTTAAGCCTCTGCTAGGAAATTAACAATTTAAAAAAACCTGGAGGTAGGCTAAAATATTTTTAAAGTGCTTGAGGATTTGCCTAGACTTCCTATTTTGTGTTTTCTACACTCAGGATATAACTACCTTCAGTCTTTGGAAGGAAGAGTCTGCACATTTTCAACATCCATCCACTTGCAAATGTCCACCCACCGCTGACAAAGAAAAGGACCATCATTGAGATTTATTAGTCACGTGCGCAGAGACAAAAGGTAATAAAGGTATGTTTTAGCAATGTATTCTTTTATAAACAGTAGAGAGCCAACAAAACACAACATAGGGGCCATTTGGGCCATTGGCTAGTCTAGATGACACACAGAAAGTATGGAATCAACTATGTCAAGACAATAAGATAATGAAGCCAATATCAAAACATATGCAACCTGACATAAGAAAGTGTTCAGACTTTGAATGTTCAGGGCTCCTTTGGACAGATGCCCACTCACTTTAAGCCACAGTGAAAACTTTGGATAGGAAATAAGGATGTACAGTTCACGGACATTAAACCTGACAGGTTATAAGTCATTCCTACTCAATCCAAAAGGTGGAGATTCACCATTAAGTATATTTAAAAGGAAAACATTTTTGAACAGAGTATGAAAGGGTAGAACCCCTATTAGGTTTCTATTACTGTTAGGGAGATTTACCCTGATGGCCAATATCATTGAGACTGAAAGTGATGGGAACATCCAAAATGCAGAGTTGTCACCAGAACAGGGATAAAAGGTAAACCTAATGATCCAGTCTTCAAACTGTCTAAAAGGGACTTTATTTTTCTATTTTTACCCAGAGCTCAGGGATCAGTTACTGTTTTCTTCTGAACAAAGCTCAGTACAAAGGTTAATGGCAATAAACACCCTTCTCGGAGTTTCCTGTTGTAGAAGATGATGACACCAGAATGCAGACATGGATAGAGCATACTGACTATACCCGTCATAAGCATATCTGGGCTTGCAAATTGTAACACACCATACATAATAATATTAACAGAAATAATAAACAAGATATGAAGCAGAAAGAAAGCGGACATGCTTTTTATGGCATTGTAATGGGTCTTCATGTCTGGATTTCTAAAACCTGTCCAGGGGCGGACTGACCATTTGGAAACTCGGGCACTGCCCGAGGGCCCAGGGTCAGTAGGGGGCCCCATGAGATGCCCCTGGTACCTTTTTCATAGGTTATTTTGAGTTTGGGCAAGGACACAGGGGCCCCATGATCCCCTATTGCCCAGGGGCTCCATGAGTTGTCAGTCCGCCCCTGAACCTGTCCCAGCACTGCTCATGTTTCTGATGTGCCTCCAAAGAGTTGGAACAGTCAAGAAGAACGCAATACTGAATATAACAAGAGGTGGTGTGGAACCTATGAAATATGCATAGTGCCCTCCAGTTGTTTCCTTTGTCATATTTTGAAACACATCAATAAATACAGCTTGATATTGGGAAAATAAATGTTGCCAATCATAGGGCAGCATAAGTACAAAAGAAAAAAAAAACACACACAGTCCAAGACACCATGGCACCAACCTTGACATCCTCACCTTGAGGTAGAGGAACACAACATGCTTGTAGTTGGTAATCTTCAGACAGTAATACACACAGAGTAGACTGGCCAACCAGATAGAGATATAATTCAGGAGCAGTATGGCCATAGAATAAAAATTGTTAAAGTAGCCTAAATGGACTTCTGGAAAATTAGAAATAAGTATCCGATTCACAGCAATGAGACACTGGAAGCTCCACCTGGACAGGCACAGACTGGTGACAATTTTATCAACAGTTGGAAGGCATTTATTCCTGATCCACATCTTGCCATTTATCAGCACAATGAATTTGTTGAGTATCATCCCAAGAATGACAATAAAAAAGGATAAATTAATATAAATAAGCTGAAAAACAGACTGCATAGTTAAAAATAGTTTTTTTTTATCTCAGTCCGGAGAACATGGGCAAAGCTGTTAGATAAGGAATATAAATATACAGATATTCTCATTTACTTAAAGTCTTCCAAATTCTAGTGGTTTATGGGTTCCTGGAATCCTTGCAAAACTAGTTTGATTGAAATTGAAATCAGACAAAGCTTGAGTTCTGTTTTGCTTGACGGTCTGCATTTTCGAGAATGCATTTATTTTTGGATTTGGATTACAGTCTAGTTAAGAATCCCAGCAATATGGATATACTATCTTATATTTTTGTTTGTGTAAACTGCTCAGGTTATTAAGTTAAACAAAGCGTATGCAGCATTACCCCTGAAGGAGCCATTGTTAGGCTCCATGTACACTGCAGCTGATAAACTGACGTTTAGGAGCTTTTCTGCATTTTTTTTTCAGTAGCCCCTGAACTCTCTCCAATGTTTTCCTATGTATCCATGTACACTATGTCGTTTACAGTCATTTACAGGCAGTTGAGTTTACAGTCGTTTTTTTTAACGCACCAAACTTGCGTTCAGGAGTAGATTTTATCAGCATTTCAAACGAGTGTAAACACGGCTAACCTCATTTATAAGCATTTGTGTTTGGAATTTTTGTTTAACTCTTTCATTTCCAAATGCTGTCCAGAGCCTTTTTTCATCATGCCTGGGGAACTCAAATGACACCTAGGTTGAGACTGTGGGCTAGAAATACAGTATACTCTAATTGCAAGTAAATGGTACCCTTGGCATGGGAAACATAACTTGACATGACAGATTAAAAAAGATTTCTAAGAGTGAATTGATCCAAAATTACAGTTCTGATTTTCAGTAAATCATTTTTCAGTATGCAATCTCTTCATTTATCTATTTTTACCCAAAGCCCTGAGTTCAGTCACTCCTTTCTTCTAAAAGAAATTCCTGGCATGAAGATCAGAAATTGTCATGGAACATTAAAAAAAAGTTAGGAGTAAATTGTTTAAAATTTACATTTCTACAATTTTCAGTTTTTTTTTTTTTATACATACAGTAATCTCTTCATTTCTCTATTTTCACTCAGAGATCAGTTACTTCCAAACGATGCTCACTACATAAGTTAATGGGAATAAATACCCTTCTCTGAGTTTCTTGTTGTAGAAGATGATGACACCAGAATGCAAACATGGATAGAGGGAAGCGACTATTGTCATCATAACTCTATAAGGGCTTGTTTTTTCTAGCACACCAGAGAGAATAATATTAATAGAAGTAATAAACAAGATATGAAGCAGGAAGAAAGCAGCAATGCTTTTTATGGCATTGTAATGGGTCTTCACGTCTGGATTTCTAAAACTTGTCCCAACACCGCTCATGTTTCTGATGTGCCTCCAAAGAGATGGAATAGTCAGGGGAAGAAAGAAATGCTAAATATAGCAAGAGGTGGTGTGGAATATATCAGATATGAATAATGTCCTCCAACTGTTTTCTTTGTCATGTTTTGAAAAACATTAGTGGTAACAGCTTGATATTGGGAACAGAAATATTGCCAAGCATAAGGTAGTATGAATATGAAAGAAAAAAACCACACAGTCCAAGACACCATGGTACCAACTTAGACATCCTCACCTTGAGATAGAGGAACACAACATGCTTGTAGTTTGTAATCTACACACAGAGCAGATTGGCCAACCAGATGGAGATATAGTTCAGGAGTAGCATGGCAAGGGAAAAAAATGTATTGAGGAAGCCTAAATAGACTTCTGGTAAAAAATAGAAAAACGTGTGATGTACGAGAACCAGACACTGGAAGATCCACCTGGACAGGCATAGACTGGTGCCAATTTTATCTCCAGTTGGAAGGCATTTATTCCTGATCCAGATCTTTCCATTCATCAACACAATAAATTTGTTGAGTGTCATCCCAAGAATGACAATAAAAAAGGATAAATGAATAACAAAAAGCTGAAAAACTGACTGAATAGTTAGAAAATGATTTTGAATCTCAGTCCGGAGAACGCGGTCAAAGCTGTGACTCTAGTTGTGAGAAAAGGAATATAAATTATACAGATACTTTTCATTTATTTAGAGTATTCTAAACTCTGTTGGTTTATGGGTTCCTGGCATCCCTACTAAACTCGTTTGATTAAAATTCATATCAGACAAAGCTTGCGCTCTCTCTTTTGCCTAGTGTTTTGCATTTTTTTTTCAGATTGGGATTGCTATCTAGTTAGGAATCACAAAAATATGGATATACTATCTTATATTTTTTGAACCTAAATAAATAATGATATAGTGAAAGCAGCTAGCACAGGTGAATGATACAAAACCTCAAATGATATAGTGCAAAAAGTGCAGCGCTAAAACATTAATGATCAAAATTAACATTTTAAAAAGTCCGTCTACTAAAGTTCGTGCACAAATGAAACTCCACAAAAGAAAGTGAATCTAATCATCAAGGAAAAGGATGAATAACCCACACATTCAGTGAAGCCGGAGAGAAGGGGTGACACCTCAAACCCCTGGTGACAACAGAAAGTGAGTAGGAGCTCTTACCAGAGCTATTGAGCTTTCAAATTAATGAAAAGCCAACTGCACAATGGTATTTTAATCTGTGGTTTTACGAGCAAAGCATCTTTACCATATAGGTTGCACCCCCAATGAAAAGTCAGCCCAGTGCTTTAGAAACCCAAATCCTTCCCTCTTACACCCGGTCTTTACCATGCATTCAGTTCCCTAAGTTCCCCCGTCTTTCCTGACTTGTGCATGCCCTAGGCAATATTCCAGAGAATATCACCTTGGAGGTCCTTCCCTCAAACAGCCTAATTCTTTAAATTGATTATTAAGGGTGGCTTCACATTGCCAGACTCCTGGAAACAAAGGGACTCTTTTCTCCGTCCTTTCTTTAGGCTCCTTTTTTTTTTTTTTTTTTAATGGTTGAACTGGATAGACTTTTGTCTTTTTCCAGCCAGACTAACTATGTAACTATTCTGCATTTTCCAAAAACTTGTGGATAAAAACAAGTCTTTAATAGACATCCCATACCTTTTAGAAACTACCTTGGGGTGTTTGCTTTTCAAAATGTAGTCCCTTTATGGGTGTTTTTTACTGTCCCAGTGCTCCAGGCCCGTCAAAAATGTGATAGGTAGTCAGGAAATTAGATGTGTTCAGGCTATCTAAGACCCCTTAGATAGCCTGAAGGTGCTCCTTGGATTTTGGACCCCTCTCTGTGGCTAGGCTCTGAAAAAGTCTCACACATGTGGTCTCCCCATACTTGTGAGGAGTAGTAGAATGTGTTTTAGGGTGTAATTTTAAGTATGTCAAATTTCATATTATTTGACAACTTTGTGTAAAAAATATGTTTTAACTGAAGCTCAGGTTTCACAGCTAATTGATACAGTAGTTGTTCACAGGTTCATATCAGGTTTACATCAGATTCAGGGCATGATTAGCTCAGGATCTTATTCTGTTCAAACATATGTGGTTTAGAAACGGTTTCCGTAGAAGTCAATAGCCTGTAATCTGCACCTGATCCAGACCACACTGCTCAGAAATCGGGCATGACTCTTTTTAAAGCCGCACTGAATCCACACCACTAGTGCACCAGATATATGTGAACAGGCACCATAGGAAGCAATGTTTTTTTTCTCCATGCCCAGAATTTAATTCAGTAGAAAGCAGTAATTAAACTCAGGACTTTGGGTGAAAATAGATAAATGAAGAGATTGTATACTAAAAAAATTACTTAAAATCATCCAGAGAAAACGGAGTCACATGTTCGCTGCACCCTAGGAAAACCCCAACTGTGCCCCAATTAAGAAATGCTGAGCTAGAGATACAGTATACTTCAACTACATTTACATGGAACCTATGGCAAGGGGATTACAAATTGTCATGGAAAATTAGAAAAAGATTACAAGGGTAAAATTATCAAATTTTAATTTCTAAAATTTTGCAGTATGTAATTTTTTGGTGCGTAATCTCTTCATTTCGCTATTTTTTTGCCCAGATCTCAGGGATCAGTCACTGTTTTCTTCTGCAGAAAGCTCAGTATGTAGGTTAACGGGAATAAAAACCCTTCTCTGAGTTTTCTGTTGTAGAAGATGATGACACCAGAATGCAGGCATGGATAGAGTGGGACAACTATTCTCATCATAAGTCTAATTGGGCTTTCAATTTCTAGCACCAAATAAATCAATATTAACAGATATAATAAACAAAAAATGAAGCAGAAAGAAAATGGCCATGCTTTTTATAGCATTGTAATGAGTCTTCATGTCTGGATTTCTAAAACTTGTCCCAACACTGCTTATGTTTCTGATGTGCCTCCAAAGAGATGGAACAGTCAGGAAGAATGCAAT